AGTGCTCTTAACCGCTGAGCCATCTCTCCAGCCCCTAAAAATTATTTTTAATTTCAATCATTTTTCTACATTTTTTTGTGTATAGGTGTTTTGTTTACAAGATGTTGCATTTTCCCTGCTGTATTTTGGTGTGACTTTGCTCTGATAATTCTTTGCTATCACTTGCCTTCTTCATATTGGAATTTGGAATGTTTGCGCTGTGGTTGTATTTCAAAAATAGGTTACTTGTTTGGTTTCAGTTTTTGTGGGCAGGGTTTCTCTGGGTAGCCCTGGCTGTCCTGGAATTCACTAAGTAGCCAGGCTGGCCTTGAACTCAGAGATCCACCTGCCTCTGCCTCTTATGCTGAGTGTTGGGATCAACTGTGGCAGTCACCCCCTCCTAGTAGAGATAAGTAACTCTCCCCAGGAGCTGCCAATGAAAACCTGCCCTGAGTCTCAGTTTGACACTTTTTTTCCCCAAGACAGGGTTTCTCTGTGGCTTTGGAGGCTGTCCTGGAACTAGCTCTTGTAGACCCACTCCTCTGCCTCCCAAACGCTGGGATTAAAGGTGTGCGCCACCACCACCCGATGGATTTAGTATTATTCCATTTACTTAGTGTGAGTGTCTGCCTGACACCCATGGGCGTGGCCATCAGAAAACCACTAACAAGATTTGCTGCTCTCCCTCCATCATCACTTGGCCCCTAGGGATGGAACTCAGGTCCTCAGGCTTGGTGCCGAGCGCCCTCCCCTGCTGAGATAGCTTGCCAGCTTGCACTCTGGGCTCTTAGACAGCTTTGGGATGGTTAAAGGCTACAGACCTTTTGCATTTGGACTGAATGGATTTTGTGTAATTAAGTGTCTGAGCGTGTGGGAACAAGGGAAGGAAAATTAGGGCTTCAAAGCAATGTGCTTGGGTGTCTGGTTGTCCAGAGGTAGAGTTGGGATGGTTAATATTCCAACTCTAGGACCAAGTAGGAGACAGCCTCTGAGCACACCCATGGGGAATCACTAGGTAACTAAACCTCCAGGCAAGTTATGCTAGGTTATTTAAGGTGGGGAGGCTCTCCCTAATTGTGGATGTCACCATTAAGATGGAAGACATTTGGGACTGAATACCAAGGAGATGCATTTACTATTGACTCATTTATCTGTCGTCTTAGAACCCTACCTATAACGTGTTGTGGGAAAGTTCTTTTCTGCTGGTGTCTATCTGGGGTTGTAAACGCCTCCTGTATTTCTTCTTAGGTCTGCGCATTTCCTGTTGTAACTGAAGGCCAGCCTTCACTACAGTACAAACAGGAAGAACCTGAAGGTAATTAAACGGCAAATACTTTGGCTTGCTAATGCACACCTGTAATCCCATCACTGAGGGGGCCAGATAGAAGAGTTCAAGGTCTGTCTGGTAGTCTAGGGTGTTCTGAGTCAGCCAGGGATACAGACCAAGACCCCGTCTCCGTGAAACAGACAAGAAAAGGAGCAAGTGAGATAGGATTGAGAGAAAAAAAAAAAGAGTATGAATTAACACCAAAGAAACAGCAGGAGCTAGAGGAGAAAAGCAACAAGGCGTGGTGGTGCACTGCTCATTCATCCCAGCACTCGGGAGGCAGAGGTAGGTGGATGTCTGTGAGTTCGAGGCCAGCCATGGGTACAGCGAGATCCTTTCTAAAAGAAAAAAGAAAAAAAATCTGAAACAGCCATAAAAAACGAATACTGCAACAAATTGATATCACTTGCTTGGTGGGATGTGTGTGGATTCTCCTCACCCCACCAGTAGATTTCCTGTCTTTTTCAAGCATGTTCATATGGCTTGTTTTATATCTTATATTGTATTATATATGCAAATGTTACTACAGAGAGGATCCTGGAGTGAGTAATTAAAATATCTATGAGAGGATCCTGGAGTGAGTAATTAAAATATCTATGCCACACACCTTTTATGCCAGTACTGGGGAGGCAGAGGCTGCAGAACTCTGAGTTCAAGGCCAACCTTGTCTACAGAGGGAGTTAAAGGACATCCAGGGCTACACAGAGAAACCCTGTCTTTTTATTATTATTATTATTATTATTATTATTATTATTATTATTATTATACAGTCTTCTGCCTGCACCCCTCCCCAGAAACCCTGTCTTGACAAACATACATACAAATGGAAAATGTCGAGACACCTGAGAGTTCCAAGTGTACAGTCGCATCTCCTGGGAAAGACTCATTTTGGCTGTTATGTGACAGGATGGGAGACGAAGCTGGGAGTCACAAAGAAGCATATTGCTTTTTTCCCCCCTTTCTTCTTCAAGGCAGGGTTTCTCTGTAGCTTTGTTGCCTGTCCTGGAACTCACTTTGTAGACCAGGCTGACCTCGCACTCACTGCCTCTGCCTTTCAAGTGGATGTCTGTGAATTCAAAGCCAGCCTGTTGTTCTACAGAAAGAGTTCCAGGACTGACAGAGCCAGCCTCCAAGTCACAGGTCTTCCTGTCTCTCCAGTTCTGAGTTCGAAGGTGTGTGTGTTGCACCATAGTCCGCCTAAGAATAAATAAATCATAAAAAATTTAAGTTTAGTATTTCCAGTTTTCATCTGGTATCTAACTGTCCCTTCCATACCTCACCTCTCCTAGCAAAAATAGCTCCATTTTTGTTTCAGATTCCAGGGGAGGCAGGAGAGTTCTGGGTGTCTCTACTCCACTAGATTTGGTTTTTGTGCATGTTTCCCCATTACTTTTGCTGTGTTTTGAGTCAGGGTCTTTCTCTGCAGACCTGGCTGTCTTGGAATTCTTGACCAGGCTGACTTAAAACTCACAGAGATCCCTCCCAATTGCCGGCATTTAATTAAATGTGTGTGTACCCACTGCCTCTGCATTTGGTTTTTTCAAAAATTGTATTATTTATTTGTATATGCTTGTGCTCTTGCACACCATAGCTGGAGCCTGTAGGTCAGAAAACAGTCTGCAAGAGTCCGCCTCTCATTCCACATGGGGGCGCGAGGGGTCAAACTCAGGCTGCCGGGCTTGGCAGCAGACACCTTTAACCATCTTATCCAGCTGTGTGTAGTTTTGTTTTGTTTGTTTTTCTTTTTTTGTTTTTTTTTTTTTTTTGAGACAGGGTTTCTCTGTATTGTTTTGGAGCTCGGTAGACCAGGGTGGCCTCGAACTCACAGAGATCTGCTAGCATCTGCCTCCCGAGTGCTGGGATTAAAGGCGTGCACCACCAATGCCCGGCTAGCTGTGCTTAGTTTTAAACACTGTTCTAATGTAGCCTAGGCTAGCCTCAGGCTAACTCCCTTCCCTTCCCACCTCTTTTCCTTGGTTTGGGTTTTGTTTTGCCCTCTCCTCCTTGTCTCCTCCTCCTCCCCCTTCTCCTCCTCCCTCCCCTCCCCTCCCCTTCCCTTCCTTTTCCTCCTTCTTTCTTTCCTTCCTTCCTATGCTGTGTTTCTATCCACTCCGTTCTTGCCTCACACGTCCATCTCTTCCATTTAGGCTCAAGCCCAAAACTGCCAGTGTGTGATCCTAGGGTCTTGTGTGAGTCTAGGGTCTTGTGCATGCTGAGTGCTGTAACCTCTGAGATATACATATATATATATCTTCAGTTCCCTGCATCCATTCACGTGTGTACTCCTTGTTTGTCATTTGACCCCTGCAGGACCAGAGGTGACCACTCTCATCAGCCTGGTCTTTCCTAGCTGCTGCATTTGCAGGAGAGACTAGAATTTGACCA